AATGATTACAGATTAGAGATAAAAAATATTTACATGCATAATAAATGCGAGATTTCTTCGATCAACTTGTTTCAATTTAGAAAAATATAACTTCTGTTTAGATAGCTTCTTTCTATTATTTTCTTTAAGTTTTTTTGTTTTTGTTTTCAAACTCTATTATCAGATTTGTTTTTCTCTAAAGCATATATATTTTTATGAATTGATGTTATAATACTTGATTGATTTACTTGCAGAAGTAAAATCATGCTATCGATTTTGATAGCTGATCTTTATACCATTTATAACAGAAGATAATTCAAATATCAAAATGAGATTCTCTCTTGATGAAATTTATAGAATTAAATAAAATAAAAAAAAACTTCAGGAATATTAGAATCAACTTATCGAGCATTTTTCAATTAGATCAAATATGCGAATAATAAAGAAATCAGCAAATAGACGTTTATTTATTTAAGACATTAATATGCAATGACGCAAGTTGCACCAATATTTTCTTTTTTGGACGAGAGAAATACTACTGGGAAAAACTTATTGTTCAATCCAATGCATAAACAAATCTTCAATCAAATGGATTGATTAACAATTATAAAAACTGGACAAGCGAAAAAGAAAGAATTACAATGTCACATACTGATATTAGAGCACAAGGACTCTAGACATACAACAAATACCAGACATTCATGTACATTCTGAATATACAAATATTGATTGCTTTGTCAGTTATTTCCCTATACACATGATTTATATTTCTAAAGTTCAAGCTATAATAATACATTGAACATGTTGAATTTTTAATGAAACAAAATTATAAATTAAAAAATAAAAATTTCAAAATAATAAATATTCTAAATATTTAACTATATCATAATGTCCTTGTAAACATTTTATTAATAGTACTAAAGCTAGAATTTGCTTAGATTTATTTAGTATTTGAAACTTATTAATTCGATTAATTCTTGAGTGATGAGCATTTTCTAAAAATAAAATATTATATTTTCATACAACAAAAATATTATTAAGTAGCACTTTAAATCAAGGTTATATCCAATGCATTTATTTAACAAGGATTATAACTTTATTGAATCGATTACTTTCTGTGTCAAATTTTAAAAATCTTTTTTTTTTGTAAGATCAAATATATACCATCGTTTAAAATAAAATGTTGATTTTAATTATAGATAGTATCATTTCATCAATTTATCATAATATATTTCTCAAACAATAAAAATTGTCAACTAACAACTTATGTTTAATGTAAAATCTTAACTAGGTAACAGTTGAACATAGTATTTTTGATGCTCACATAATCAAAAGCACAATCATAATTATTAGTAAACGTTCATCATCACATAACATACTGTGTGAAAATTACTAGTAAGATAGTTCTGTTCGTTTCTTCTGCATATTCTTTTGAGAGAGAAAGAAGGAGAAATAGGACAAAAAGATTATAGATATCTACACAGTCTCCTCCTTGACGTTTTCATCGTTTCTTACGCTTGCATTTCCATAATATATATATATATCGTACTACTACAAATAATAATCATAATGCGACGAAGCCTATGTGTTGCGCTTGATGTATACAGACGCACATATACAAACGATGATCTTACAAATACTATTTGGACATGACTAAGGACAAGGTCTCTCATTTCTTTTAGCAATAGTAGGAAAAGAATAAGAATAAGAAAAAGAAGAAAAAAAGCTAATGGAAAATGCACAACTGAGCGACGCGCCATCCTATTAAAGAAGAGATAAGAAAATTGTCGTAGAATACAGTTGAAACAATTATATCCAAGTTCTAGACAAAAAAAAAGGAACAATGGACTATTCATTAATGCCTGCAACACCTGTACTAATAGAACGATCAAGTTTTGATCAAAGTTGGGGCTTTCGTCTTCAAGGTGGTGTTGATTTTCGATTACCATTGTCAATTAAAAAGGTTCGTGTCATTTCATCATCTTTCTTATAAGACAAAAAAAATCATTTCTCTTTTTTTTATTCTTTGTTATAAACATAGGTAATAACTAATTCACCAGCACACAATAAACTTCATGCTGGTGATGGTCTTGCTTTTATTGATGGACGAGATGCAAGTTTAATGAAGCATGAAGATGCAGAAATTATGATTCGAAATTCATTACGATTACAACTTGTTCTTCGACGGTATGGTCTATTCATATATCTATAGTATCAAATATAGACTAAGTATATTGTTCCTACAAAGAAAATTATTCGAAATAGGAAAACAGTAAAAATTCAAAGAACTAATTAATTAACATTTCATGGAAATAGATATCGAATTCTATATAACAAATATTGATTATATCTGAATTGATACAAATATATCAGAGGAAATTACTTGAAACATTCTATTGTACTAATTTAATCCTAATTTTAAGACTAATTATTGGTAAAGGTTAATATAAGTTTCCTGTGACCTTCATTTATGAAGAAGGGTAGGTGTTGAAACATGTCTTATCTGATATTCAATATAATCGATTGCGTCTTCTAATAGATGAATTGCACTCTCGTTTGAATATTACAGTTTAACATAATTTATTATCTAAACTTATTTTTAAAAAGTAAAAAAAAAAAAAGAACAAAACAATTCAGTATAGCGATTGATCTGATATTATTTCCAATTCAATTTAGATGTTCCTAAAAATTAAAGAGAAAAATCTTATGGAAAAAAGAAGAGGTTTTCTTTCGACTGAATCTATTTAAAACTTTGATATACACTTTAAAGTTCTTCATCTTGGCTCCATAATCTTGATCATCACATGTATAAATTATGACACTTTCAAACAATATTACTTCTGCTTTCTTGTTTTTTTTCTTTTAGTGGTCAACTTAATACAATTCGACCAACAAAATCATCAGTTAAATTTTCTCCTGGACCTAATCCACGTGCTAATAAAGCATTACATAACGGTACAACACCGAATGGTTATCGTCGTTTTTAATTGATCATCTATCATCTATTATATTTCTCTTTTTTTTGTCAATACTCAAAACTAAGTTATATATTTTTTCAATATTAGTGCGCATATACAATTCTTTTTCTTATATTTATTTGTTTTGTATATGTAACTTGAAAAAAAAAACCTACGAATGAGAAAACTTAAATAATAAAACAAATAATAACATTTATTTGATTATACGACATGATCACATTTCATTCTTTTAGATTTGTTGAAAAGAAATGACATTTATCACAAGAATAAGCAATCATGGTATTATCTTCCGCTGTGACGCCAACATATTGATTAATACACATAAACAATTTGTTCATTATAAACATCAGAATCAATAGACAGTTACAAATTTCTTATATACGTGATGCTGTCAACGATAATAGCGATAGGAATCAGAGTCTTGGAGGGTGGGATAAGACTGATATAAAAACAATGTTTAGGATAGAATTAGAGTATTATTCATATTGCTAAGAACTTTTTTATCAAGTAACTTCGAAGACATTTCTGACATCTTTCTGTTTTAGAAGAAGTCGATCATTATGTTAAAGAGAAATTAAGTATTGGTAAAAAAGAATCAGTATTGGACTGGTGGGATAAATTATCATTGACCTATACGTAATTTAGTGTATTAGAAAGAGGCTATTGGGAGTTCCGATGAGTTTAGTCACAAGTGAGGATATTTTTAGTGCAATCATAAGAGAGTTTTGGAAGAGAGAAGACAGAATTGAGTGGTGAAATTGTTAATGACATTTTATTCTTACGAAACTTTTGAAATATATGATAATTTTGTATTTGATTATCGTTGAAAATCAATAATATATGATGAAACATGCTGAAGAAAACATCATGTTAGTATATGCTAAAATCTGGAAATCTTATGATAGGATAGAGTCTAGGATACGAAAAAATCTTACGTTGCAAGACTCCGATTGGAATGTACCGGAGGTAAAATTGTTATGTACTTTTATTTCTTAATATTTTATAATATTATCAAACATTTACGTGTCTTTGTGTTTCCGTTGTTGCTATAGTTCTATTTTCTCATAATTATGATTATAGGTTATGAACAAAGATCATAAATTTAATTAATTTGATCAAGAATTGTTAGTAGTTGTCGAATCTTTTTTTTCCCAAGCTATTGACTACATCAATTTCTATTCAATATTTCTCTGTGTAACTGTAAAAAATCCACTGCTATCTAACTGACGATTTATTATAACGAATTTTGTCATACACAGAGAATCAATAAGGAAAGATATTCATTTTCACGTTATTCTTATCTTTTATTCTTGGACACTGAAGAAATATTATTTATGCTTAGAAGAGTGTGGGTGTGGGCTCGCAAACATATAGTAGCACATTGTACTGGCTCTTATACATTCGCTTGAAATAATTCGTCGATGTGTTAGATTTTTTTCTTTATTTTTATTTATGCAAAAACATATGAACATTAGTTCAAACATGATTGCAATTTCAATGATAGATGAAGAGCAAGTGAGAAGAAAAATGTGATGTTTTCATCCAATGAAAAATATAAACAACATGTAAGAAAAAAGAAAGATTTACAGTTTCAACACGAAAAATAAATGTGACGAAAAGAAACAGAGAGATAGATTTTGTTTTTCTATTTGCTTCAATGTATCTAGAGATTGAAGCAAATAAAAACAGACAATGAAACTAAAACTGGAAGAATAATAAAAACTTATTTTTAAAGTGTATAATTACATCTCGAAGAATAAATGAGTTGTTTATTGACCTAATTTTATTCTTTTGTGTAGCATCAATGAATATGTCACAAAACCTATTTTCTTCTTACGTGTCATATTATTATGATTAGTGAACAAAATTTGGAGTGCAAAGACAACTTCTATCATTAACAACAACAGATTGATTCGTATTGTGCTATGTTATTGATATGAATGAACATGTTTAGTTCCATAGAATATGATAAATCATATAGGAGTATAAATTTATTAAATATAGAAGAAAATAAAATTCGTTATTTGTGAATGACTTGTTTTTCTAGAGAATATATCGAAAGGCAACATGTCGGTCTCCCAGATCACGAATTTCTTTTTCAGACATTTTTGCGTAGCCCCACCGTCGTTTGTCGTCTTCGCTGGTTAGATCCCATATATCGGATTGTTGAACATCTGTTTCATATGACGCTGAATTCGCACTTGCAGGTGTAACTGATAATTGTGTAGATCCATAGAGACGATCACGTCGTCGATTTTCTGCTCGCAAACCAAAGAAAAGTATCACAATATTGATTAGACCAAATGCGCAGAAACCCAGATTGATGGCATGACCGAGGATAAAGCGCGGTGCATCTTGTGTGCGATAGACTTGCCCGCCAATCGCTCCACCGATGTTGCCCACCGAAAGCATGAATGCCAACGCGGTAGCTCGTTTCGTTTGTGGACTAGTGTTGCCTGATAAAAAAGCGGTATTAGTGGACACACATGGAGCGATACTACCAGCTACAAGAATCACAGCAAGGTACTGGATAATCATGTGTTCAACTACTATCAGAATAGTATAACCAACTACACTGACGGAAAACCAGAAAATGATAAAGATACTGCGACGAGTATATTTGTCGGACAGATAGGCCGTGATCATTGTAGTCAAAAAAGCAAATACGTAGGGCGGTGCACTGAGCAGTTGAGCTTGATAGGTGACGAAACCAAGTTTCTGAATGATGGTTGGCGAGAAAAACGCCAAAGAATAGAGAGGAACACAAATGCTCATCTCGGCCAAGGACCAAGCATAGATTTGCCATGTCGATAAAGCGGCCAAGACTTGGTTCCAACTGAACTGCTCGTTAGCTCCAGCTCCTGCATCGTTTTGTAATCGAGCTGTGACACGCTTGCATTCGGACTCAGTGAGAAATTTCGGTTGATCAGAAGGAAAATCGTTTATAAGAAAGAAGGCCAATGATCCAATAACTACTGTTGCAATGCCTTCGAGGTAAAAGATCCAACGCCAACCTTCTTGTCCGCCAACACCACCCATTTTACTGATACCATAAGCAAGCACACCACCGAAGGCGCCAGCAAGAGCAGCAGCTGAAAAAAAGATACTTACACGCCACAACAGCTCACATCTCTTGTACCAACTCGAGAGATAGAAACTGACACCTGCATAGAACGAATCACTGGTAGATAGATCTTAACTGACTCTCCTTCCCTATACCTGGAAAAAGACCTGCTTCAAAAGCACCCAAAAATAGGCGACACGCAATAAGACTTCCATAGGAATTTACTAAACCCATCAGTGTCATCACAATGCCCCATGCCACCATGATCAATGGTATCCATCGACTAGGTCGGAGTCGTTTCAGTATCAGATTCGACGGAACTTCGAATAAAACGTAAGGGACGAAGAATATACTCACACATACGTTGTACTGATCACTGCTTAGGTTCAACGACGCTGTTAAACCGTCGAGTTTTGCCTGACCAATATTCACTCGATCGAGAAAACTCAGAAGATAAAGTAATGTCACGATTGGAATCAAGTGTAAGTCCAGTTTACGAAGAAGTTTCCTGTCTCCTGGATCATCTTTCTTGTCATCAGTGACAATAACATTCACTTCTTCTATGACAGACTTTGTCTTGATAGACTCTGTCTTGACAGAGGGCGACGGACTCTTTTTCTCACAAACATCGAAATCACTCATAGTATTTGTCCAATAGAACTGTTCTGTGAAATGGCCTATTCGAAACGAGCAATTTTATGCATATATGCGTATAAAAGCAGAGATATCATGAGAGAAAGAAAAAATATATCATCCAAATATAGAGATGTGTGCATGACAATTTTTATATTGATGTTATCAGACTATTCATTCTCGTTCTCTTCCCAGATCAAAAAAAAAACGTGTGCTTCAAGGTAAGCGTTTTATGTTCTGATTGCTTCATCAATATGATGTGTAACCGAAATAATATTGAATGCAATGCCTGATAAAATACATAAAATGCAAAAAATTATAGAAAATTAATTTTCTTCGTTTTTTTTTTATACGCAGTTTACAGAATGATCAACAAGTTGACTAAGAATATGGTTTTTTTTTTAAATTTCTTCTGAAACACTTTTGATTAAACAAAATTTGAGATTTTTAATAGTCTTGAATGAATCATTTTTTCTAACAGTACGTTCTTATACTAAAACACCAACACATTTTTTTCGTTTTTAGAAAAACTTTCACCAACTGATTGAAATTTACCTGTCGTTCATTTTATGATGCAATACATCTTATGATGATAATATATTTGAATAATAACAAAAATTAGTCTCACAGACTCAGATTTTCATGAAGAATCTAAACATACTAGTTTTCTGCAATACACAACCATACTTTTAGAAAAAATGATGTATTCAAGACCATCAAAAATTTCAAATTGCGTTTATTCAATTAAAAGTGTTTCCAAAGAAATTGATAAACACATATTCATAGCCAACTCGTTGAGCTCTCTCTCTCTCTCTCAGTACGTTTAAAAAATCAATCACCAACATCTAACATTCTCGACGCGTTCGGATAGACAGAGAAATTGCTGCATGAGAGTTGAAAAGAGTATTTTTGTTCAATTTTAACAGACGATCTATCACTTCGTATATTCATTGTATTTTAGTCGAAGGGATCGCTAACTTTCTCAAAAGGGTGTCCTGTGACACGTACGAGATTTTTCGGATTCATTTTTGTTTTTCTTACCTGTTGTCATTGATTACTATTGAATTTGATTGCATTCATCATTCTTTATTGAAGATCGACAGCAAGCAATGTATCGATCGATGACTCTTCGTCATTCAAGAAAATCAACTCGTTAAGATTTATTCGATATCTTCTATTAATGAAGTAGTATTCATCTAAATTATGTGTTGCTGGCTATGTCATATATTATCAATCGATTTTGCATGTCGTTATTTTCTTTTTTTGCATAGAACTGGGATTATACGGACGAGGACACCCAACCGTTGTAGGTGAATGCACGTCATACTCTTCTTTGAATATCATTTTATCATGATCTATCCATGTCTAAAAAACGTGAATGTAACTCTGCTCTTGTATAGATAAATTTCAAAAAAGGAATAGGTCAAGAAGTTTAGAGAAGCGAGAATAAAGAACATATTCAATCAAAGTAGACGCAACGTCGATTATAATAGACCGGAGCAAAAAGCTCACGTTTTCGCTTGAAGCATCTCACAGTAACTATAAGATGAGCGAGTCATTTGAGATTACACTTTTCATTCAGAATGAAGAAATAATACTACTACGTAGAACAACGAATATGAGATAAAAGACAACAGATGAATACATCGGATGTTATGAATATAAGTGTACGATGATTAATACTCTTACTAATCAGCAAAAGAATCCTGAGTATTGTGAAACTCACACGTTTTACTGGATTCTTGTACATTGGAATACTCTGTAAAGAACCAGTATTTATAAGTTTTTTGCCATTTCAATAGTTTAATAATGGCTTTTTGAACCATGAAATTTCGAATAAACCAAAATTCGTCGAATTGATTAAATATAATTTATCTATTTTAATTCAACTTAGCAAATTCTATGAAAATTCTTTTAATCAGACAAATTTTTGAATAATCTTTCAAGCATATCTCTCATATGTTCAATTTTAATTCTTCTATCCTTAGTTGAAGAGATTTAGAAACAAAAAAGTTTGAATGTATCAACTAAATGAATTAATAACAAAACTCTTAGAACCTAATCGAAAAATTTGATCATACACTGTGCACTAAAAAAAACATTGGATTTGTACGTAAAGCATAAAACTCATTTGATACTATTGCATTGTACATAATAATTAAAGTAAGAACATCTATATCCAAGGGAGGAAAGTATACTTCTGTACTTCTTCATAATTTTCCATATGCGTAGTGGCCCCTACATAGTTTTATGTATTTCCTTTGCTCAAGAAATAAAAGAGTAATATTATCAATCTTTCTTTATCATACATGGTTAGAAATTAGATGCAGAAAGTTATAATAATATTATAGAAGACGAAGATACAGACAATCAACAATCGCCAGAGTTTGATAAAAATTCGTCCGTATTGAAAAGATTCATATTTCCAAATCAAAATTAATAAGAATTGTCGATATTTACAAAAAACAATCATCATGTTGACTCTTAACTGATGCACATTATCGTTTATCAAGCAATCATCGTTCTCGTGCCAATTTTCTTTATTTTTGCTTTTTCTTTATACTTCTGTACTTCAAAAGTACAGAAGTATGCTGTTTCCTCCCTTGTCTGTAGCTCATTTTGATAGTAGTGTTTGAAATTTTTTCTATAGACAAACCATGTTTGATATTGAATTTTCCAAATATAACTTTAAACAACGAATCGATTTTGTTGGAAATTCAAAAACTAAGGTTTTTAATACCATCTCAAAAACCTTTTCAAAGTTTTTCCATGTTGAAAATTGAAGCCATTGTTTTTTTGTATTTTTTACAATACAAATTTTTCTTTAGACTATACATATATATATATATATATGGCAAAGAACATAATAGAGACTAAACTATTTTGTTTCTAATGATATAAAACTATTTATTAAACAAATTTAAGGTTTACATTAATCTATGTACAATTGATCTCAATCACCTGACAATTTAATAATTGTAATTTGTTTTTTTTTTATTAATAATGAGACAATAGGAAAAAAAATTTGAAATGACTAGTTAAACCAAGGTTCATTTACCAGATGTAGTCAGTTGTTTATTTGGTTTTCTTTTCATGACATGATTAATATATGATTCTAATTCACGTAATGTTGACGGTTTAAGTATTTCAAAATCAATTTCCATTTCATCTCGACTTGAATCACGTAATGATGGTTCTCGTTTATAAATAATCTATTTAAAAACAAAAAATAATAATCAAATAATAAAGAAATTATTTTTCAAATAAACCTCAACAACAGGACCAAGTTTTTCACTTGGTAAATTATTAATATCAATACTTAATTGACGTTTTTCATCATAAGTCATTGGTCTAGAATTTTCTTCACTTTGAATATCAAACATTGATGAAGCAGGATTTGTTGTATTTTTCTTCGGTGCTCTAATGAATAATATTAATAGAAAATAAAATCTTCTTTTTTTTTTTGTTTTTCATTTTTTTACTAACCGTTTCACTCCTGTTGTACCAGCTGCTGGTCCACGACGAGCTTGTTCTGAACCTTTATTAACATTAGTTTTATTTGTTGTATTTTTTGTTGCTTTCATTTGTTTCGGTGGACTTATATCTCCAGAATTATATGGATCTAAAGGTACATTATTAAATTGACTAGTACCATTAGGAGTAATTGAAGTATTCGATTGAAGTAAACTTGCAAGTGATGGTGTTGTTTTTTTTGTTGCCATAGCTACAGTCGAAGGATTACGTGTAGCTGTTTGTGGCATTGGATTCATTGAAGTTCCTTGTACAGCATTAAAAATATTCGGTGATAATAATGAATTTGTTGGTGATAAATGTGGTAAACGATTTGATTCATTTATTGTACTTGTCAATGGTAATGAACCAGAATGACCATCTTTAAATGGATTTCGTTTCATTTTTCGTTTATAACGTAATGTTATACGATCATTTGTTTGTTGAATTAAATATGTTAATGTATTACCAATAACTTTCACCTTAAATTATATTAAAAAAAACAAAGCAAAATTTATAATTTAAATCATTGAGATTGTCATGATTGAGTGACTACATTGTTCAATATGTATTCACAAGGTACTGTATGCAAATTTTAGTATCATTTGTCATGGAATGATCCTGAATAACTCACTAACAGTTATTTATTTCAAACTATTCGTCTGATAGTATGCTGACTACATTGTGACACATATACTTGCTCTTGTGATTAGTCAGTATGAAGCAACAACTGACAAGAAAATCTCTCGAAGTGTCAAATTGCTTTTCGATCGAGATGATATTGTTCATGCAAAATTTCAAGTTGAAAATCGATTTTTCACATGATCATAGATTTTTTTGTTTATTGAAAAATTCAGTATCTCAAGAATGAAGGCTCATAAAACCAAAGTATTCTAGACTTTTTTTTATCATTCATTTGATGCATATCGTCTTGATTGAAAAGTAATTTGACACCTGGAGAGTTTCTCTCATGAGTACAAGAAATCTGCATCAGGTCAGCTTTCTCTTCAAAATCACAGATAGTTATAATTCATATCGCAAGTTAGCCGAAAGACAGAACGATTTTTTTTTTATAAATCATTGATAAAAAAAAAAATTTACTTGTTCTTGAAGAGAATATA